AAAATTTAAGTTAAAGAAAAGTAAATATGTACTTTTAATTATGATCAAACTTCTATCCCTACCAGTAGAGATGTCGAAAAAGTATCAATTCGTCATACTCGATTGGATCCGAAGTAACGATTACTCGTTTGAAAAAGTATTCGTTACTTTTGCTTATTTGATTATTTCTTGGATATAGACAATATAGAGTACTTTATCTAATGGAATATGGATACTTATGCAATGCTCACTTGACACATATTCATATTAGATCGACACGAAACGAGTACTTGTATTATTACGTTGCATTCAATTTTATTTGTTTTGTGTACCATATTTTTATACCTACTTATATTAGAAAATATTTTTCCTATAAAAGACTTAAAACATGCATAAGAGTGTGTATATAATACATAATCTAAAAAATATGTACTTTCTATTTTTATTTATTTTAAAACTGATTTATTTTCTATTTTATTTTTATCGTTGCATTATATTTATTTTTTTTTTATCAAACAAACCTTAATATTTCAGATATTATCACTGCATTTCTTTTTTAAGAGAAATTGAGGTTAGATTATATTCATAATATGATGCTGTTTGATATTTACTCGTCTATAATTTACAGCACTGTATATCAATTAGGTAATTACTGATTACTATTCTATTTAGAATATTTTGGAGCCACTGCTCATTGTAATCAAAGTAACGAATACAAAGTACCGATTACTTAAACCGAAAGTAATCGGTACTCATGATTACTCGAAAGTAATCGTATTTGACATCTCTACCTACCAGTAATAATAATTTTTGTAATTAATTTGTTATAATTTCTAACAACTATTTCAACACTGAAATCGAGAATACAAATATTTAATATCTCTAATCACAATTTATTCAAAATGTCTGCCTTCGTTCTGTATATCTACATAGTAGAGTGCCCGGCAGCGTTAAATATGCTTAAAAATCAATTCTGTGGGCGTCGCGGGGTTACAAGCTGAATTATGCATAAAATTGAATCTTATATCTTACTGAATCAGAATCCGAAGGTAATAAAAAAATAACCTGGGCAGAAGGGCAGTAAAATCAAAAAACGAGTTATAACCACGGGCAGATAATACAGCACATTGGCTATAATTCTATATAAAAATCGACTTATATTTTGTACAGCATATATTTTTTTATCAATTTTTGAAAGTTGCTCTTAACGTTGAGTCTTATGGCAGAATAAATTTTTAAACTTGAATATCTCGGTTCGAACACGTCGAAAATCTTACTGAAATTCAACATTTTTTTAGTTCCCACGCTATTTACCGGAAAACGGAGGCCTTAATTGAAAAATTTTACTCTCGCAAAAAGTTTCTGTCACCAATTTGAAAGACAACAGCGTATAATTCAGAATTTTTGCTTCAATAATAAACAAGATATAAATAAAAATACGAAATAAGTCATTTTTCGAACGGTCGGCGGACGGCTGGCTGCTTCGCGTCCCCACTCCGCCACAATCGCATCTGTCTCACAAATCTCCATAGCTCCATTTCGTATTACTTCGATACGTACGAGTCAGTAGTGATAACCCTACTACACACAAATTTGAAAAAATATGCAAAATTAGTAAAATAAATTATGTCTCACTTCTACAGATTTAAAATACGATTTTTTTAATAATTAGATTTAATTTGATTAAGTTAATAAATTTATACAGGGTGTCCCGTTCATGTTCAACTTGCATGCAAGTTCCTCATGGAAAAATAATAGGGGTAGTTCATGTAAGGTTTTTTTCTTAGACGCCCTGTTTTCGAGATACAGTGTGTTGAAGTTGTTACTTTCCAAATGGTTTTTCTTAATTATCTTTAAATCGGCTAAAGATAAAAATGTCAAAATTTGTAGACGAATAAATATCTACTGTGCGTTAACAATAATAATGTGCAAACGGTTTCTTTCTGAAAAGAAGTGTCGACAATCAGGTAATTGGAGGAGTACAATAGAAATAAAAATATGTTAAAAGACAATATTTATTACATTTCTAAACAGTTCTTTAAACTCACATGAACTATCCCTATTACTTTCCTATGAGGAATTTGCACACAAGTTTTTTTTGAAACATGAACCGGAGACCCTGTATATAAAATATATACATAAAAAAGTCCTTTTTATTAACAATTAGAAACATGATTAACAGATAAAAAACACTATTTATCCAAGTCACGTTTCTCATCGAAATTTTTGCAAGATTTTGAGCCATGTTTTTACAGGACCAAATTCAACCCATATTACTTTTCTTGTAAGTAGCAAACCTTGCTTCCACAATCTAAGAAAATTTAAATTTTATTACTAGAAAAATGGTTGCTACTTATTATCTTACCTTTTTGCATCCACATGAAGAACGTTCAAATGTCTTTATCAATTTTTCTGTCCACAGTCGGCAATACAAGGCAATTTTGGACAGAGTTCTAAACAATTGATTGATAATAGGTCCTCAAATAATGGAATCGCAAAGTATCTTCAGTCAGAAGCAGATTTGCAATTGTTGAACACGATGCTTACAAACCTCTTAAAGTGTTTACTGACGTAATATTAGGATTTTTTTAATATAGTTTTATAATAATGATCTGAATATCCTTGAACATATTTTCTGAAAAATCATCCGTACCAATTCCATTTAAGTGTTTGTGGTTTACCAAATTGTTTTCCCAATTTTTTTATTCTATTCTGTCATTAGGCAATTCACATGATATTTTACCTCCATTGCTATTAAATCATTGGAGCCTATTATTTCGAAAACTTCTGAAGAGATCGATACAAAGTTTTTACTTTAGTTTCTATATTTTTAGACATAACTTGGGATAATCTCTTCCCAGGAGACAGCTTCTGGCAAAATACACATTTATTTATGTCAAAGCCACCCTTACGAAGTGATCTACCAGTAAGTGGTGGAGATTCAATACCAGCTACTCTGTACTCTTTCAGTCTTTCCACTCTTTTCCTTAAACTTTCAATATTTTGTTTGTTCGTATAAGCAATATAACACATTTTATGCCAAACACTTTTGCCAGTTTTACCATCAACAATCACTTTTTGTATGTCCTCATCTACCTCTTTGTTTATATCATTCCGAATCCTTATTGTTAGTGGAATTCACAAAAGTAAAGGAAGTTTTATCCGTTGATTCGATTATAATACCTCCAATTTTTTTACATATTATACAATTTTTGCGTTTTTGCGTTTTGAATTTTACATGTAAGCCGATTTCGTTCTCAGAACTAGTACTATCAGTTGTAGAACGTTTCATTTCGTGCAGTGCTAAATTCTGATAAAAAATCTATAATTGGAATGAGGAATTCCCTACAGTTAACTAAAGTAAAATTTCTCACTTAGATTATCCTGGTTTACAACACTAAACGCCAACCACTATGTGTTCCAGCTTTTTAAAAAGTGAAAAATTAAGATTTTAACCAGGTTAGGTACTGAACTCGTTATATGCATTCACCCACAAAACTATATTTTTGAAAATATAAACACATACGAAAACCGCTACAAAAAGGCACACCTAAAATTCCGGTAAGATAAGAAATATTAAAATAAAATGTAATACAGTACGAGATGGAGCTATGAAGATTTGTGAGACAGATTCAACTTTGGCGAAGTGGGGAAGCGAAGTAGCCAGCCGTCCGCCGGCCGGTCGAAAATGATTTATTTTGTATTTTTATTCATATATTGTTTATTATTGAAGCAAAAATTTTGAATTAAACGCTGTTGTCTTTCAAATTGATGAAATAAACTTTTTGCAAGAGTAAAATTTTTCGATTAAGGCCTCCGTTTTCCGGTAAATGGCGTGGGAACTAAAAAAATGTTGAATTTAAGTAAGATTTTCGACGTGTTCGAAGCGAGATATTCCAGTTTAAAAATTTATTCTGCCATAAGACTCAACGTTAAGAGCAACTTTCAAAAATTAATAAAAAATATATGCTGTACAAAATATAAGTTGATTTTTATATGGAATTATAGCCAATGTGCTGTATTATCCGCCCGTGGTCATAACTCGTTTTTTGATTTTACTGCCCTTCTGCCCGCGTTATTTATTTATTACCTTCGGTTTCCGATTCAGTAACATATAAGCTTCAATTTTATATATAATTCAGCTTGTAACCCCGCGACGCCCACAGAAGTGAAAATAAATTAAAGCGGGCACTCTACTAACATAGATTTACTCGTCTTCTTAAACTGTTAAATACATTATGTAATTCATTTTCTGTAATATCAGTTAATTTATTTGTTATAGTTATGGCGTCCTTTAGTTCATCCACTACGTGTAAACGCTTTACATATATATAATTTTTTAATGTTCCAAAGAGATAATAATCTAAGGGAGTTAAGTCCAACAACTGCCAGTATTTCTGAATTGTGTCACCAAACGTAAAACATGCTGAGTAAAAATCTTATAATATGCGGCTTCATGATATGGAAACTCTTCCTGGAATTGCAAAAAACATAAACGGATTGAATAATTCCATCCATTCTCATCTCGTTGACCACTGCGAAAGTACCAAAACGCCATTTTTTAATCTCAAACAGTTCGACTACTTTATATCGAAGAAACCATCGGTATTTGCCACAAAACTAACAGTTAGCAGATGATTACCGCTAAAAAACACTAATTATGTAGAAGATACGATAAATTCAAATAAAACCACAATCGACGAACGAAAAGAAATACAACAGCAAGCACACACGGAAAGCACGGACCTCTCTGAATTGACAGATCGTGTCGGTCGAAAATCTAAGAAAGCGGAAAATAATTTTGATCAAATGGAAGTAAATTTTAATATCTATGGTAACATTTACGTGTGACGTCAGCTTCAATCATTCTGGATCGCTCGCTATTATAACAACTGCAAATTAACAGGAAACAAAATACAATAGTTTAGGAAACATGGCAGGCTTTGACTTTTTAATAGTTCATTTTGTGGACCTAATTTACGGAAGAATGAAGTTATGAAACAACATAAATTCGTACTCACCAGTGGATGCATTGGAAAAGCCATAGGATGCACGTTTCTTTCGGAGGAGTTGTTCGTTCAGGTGCAGGTAAAGGATGTTCAGGTATTGGCTGCTGACAGAGTACTGAGACCAATACAAGAAGTAATTCTTCACCAATTTGTGCTCCCCGTCCTCCTGGACTTTGTTAAGCAATATGGCGACGTGATCGATGAGGAACTGCTTCGTTTCGCCGTAAAGGCGGTCCATCATGGATTTTGGATAGGAGTAGCATAGCAAATAGATGTCCCTGACAAACGTCTAGTATTTAATTTTAGAGTGGGCACAAAAAAACAGAGTTCAGAAGTAAAACTGGGCAATTATTTACTATACAGGGTGTGCCGCATTAGAACCGACACAGGGCAGGTGCATGTAGGGGTGTCCAAAATATTGTCATTTAACCAAACTTACCTATATACAAAGTCGCACCCCTTAGGAGTTATTAGCCCCCAAAGTGGGGCCCTTAATTTGGAAAAAAATTAATATCATGCATCACTTCACCGTAGAAGAACCAAATTTAGTACATGATTTAGGTTTATTATCTACTGGCCTTCCTCGACTATGATTTAAATCTAATTGAAGCACTACAAGGAGATGACTCACCCCTAAAATTGTACCGAACTTTTTTTCATGTATCGTCACAAAAATTTTCCTACCCCCTTATTTTCGGTGGCGTTGAAGGTTATTTTGTGCGGTCGAACTTAGTTTTCGAGAAAAAATATATCATAATTCTAACCTGGACATTTCACACAACACTACGCACAAATCTGACAGTAATCAACATTGTTTAAGAAACACGTTTTCGTAAATTTCAAGTAAAAAAAAATAAGTAGTTAACAAATAAAAATTACACAGGCCGACAGAAAAAATGTTTGTTTTTGAGACGCGACTCTATTCTTAGTAAAATTTTCTGATAAAAAAAATTCTGACGTGTGGATCCCCCCCTCACTCTCAACTCACCCCAAAAATTAAAAAAATGCTACCTATTTTAATAAAATTCGTTGAATCCGAAAATGGCAAAAAAAATGTTTGGACGTTTGAATGGAGTCAAAAGTTTAGTCGAAAGCGATATTCAGTGCGGCACAGAAAAGTTATGGTTGTTTAAATCCAGGTACAACATTGTATGTGGCGCCCTTTAACATTATCTAAACAAAAAATTAAGTAAACATTTGAATTTCCCATCATCGATACTCCCAGTTTACCGAATTTCGTCAAATTGTCATGTTATTGAACGAAATATAATCAAAATACCAAACAAATTTTTTTTTGGACGCCCTGTTTCTCAAGAACCAAGCCGTTGTGGACACATATTCATAATTTTTTATCTTAAAATTAGTTTGTACAAGTACTTAAAAACACCCTGTATAGTAAATAATTACCTAAGACTGTTCTTAACCGTTTACGTTTTATAATTAAAAAAGAAAAATAACAAAAATATTTACTGAGCATTTTCTTTAGGGATTGTACAGAAACTTCAGCTAATTAAATTAACAGATAATAATAATAATAAATATAGCACAGAATGACAGTTGACATAACCTAGAAGCACTTACGAAAATCTGTCGTACCAGGCGATCCTGGAGACTTGATCCAAAGTTATTACGCCCTGTATCGTCTCCCTTATAGCGCCCCAAGTGGCGTCAAAATCCATCTGTCTAGGTATTAAGGACATTTTCCGTATTCAAATCACCTTCCCACAGTGCCAAAATTTACAAACCTCCAATGACAGGGCAAAATGTGGATATAAAAATGGTAATTATTTACTATAGCACAAAAAAATTAAAATTTTCCTACCTCTCTTTTTATATGCGTGTATGTCGCTTTCAGAACATCTGCAATGAACAATAAACATTAAGAAACACATTTTCGCAAATTTCTAATAAAAATATATGTATTTAATAAATAAAAATTATTTCTTCCTTCAATCCGGCATTTGCAATTCGTAATGTCATTGAAGTTCTCCCACCCCCTTCATCTGTGTTCATCATTGAAGTAAGAAATAATTTTTGTTTATTAAATACATACGGGTGTTAAGACGGATTCTTCCATAGTTCTGTTATTTTAAGTTTAATAAAAACATGTTTTATATCAAAGTTGTCTGGAATTATATTGGGCATCCACGTAGAATATTTTCAGTTATACAGGGTCCTCCGTTTCATCTGGACGATACATAACTTTGTTACTTTATATGGAATACCTTGTATACAGGGTGATCCATTAACGGTATCGAGCGGCTGTACCAAATTTGAATTTGATGAAACAATTTGGATTTTGTTCGAAAATTTTAACTACCTGTATTTGGGAAAAGAATTTTATTTTGTTTTTTGGGATACTCTTNTTTTTTCCCTAAGATTCGCCGTTCTCAAGTTATTCATACCAATACAATCCCCTTGTGGCAGACACTTCTAACGATAATATTACAAGAATATTTGTTTATGTTTCAAAGTAAGTGCAATTTCTAAGCACATCAACAAAATTATTTACACTCCTTTCTACACCACCTGTGAGGTAGTGTGCGATATAAAAAAAAATCATTTTTTTTAAAAACCTCAACACCCTGTATCTCTAAAACGGGGCCGTTCCAGACCTATGTTTATAAGACAAACACATATTATTTTAAAGAGATCTAGCTACCCTCGAAGTTTCCTGCATAAAATTCGGACCACCCTGTATAAGTGCTCTGAGATATTCGACAGTTTTTGGAAAAAATCACGATTTCAGCTCTCTAAGCATCTAAACTAAAAGAGTTAGGAACATGCGGTTTCAGCACAAATTTTTCTATTACGTTTTTGGAAAAAAATGAGTTATTCAGGTACCTACGACAAATGGTACCTACGACAAATTAGTCAAACGACGGGCATTAAGGCAGCGTCGGCACATAGGATTACTAAAAGGTACAATTATCATCCTTATCTCATTCAGTTGCACCGAGAGTTACAGGAGGTTGACTTCCAGGGAGACAGGCCTTTTGTCAGTGGGCCCTAGAGGTGTTAAATCAAGATGTTGATTTTTTCAAATCTGTGATGTTCTCAGATGAGGCAACTTTTCATAGAAATGGCTTTGTTAATCGTAATAACTGACATTATTATGAAACGGAAAATCCTCATCAATTCAGAACAACTGGTAGCCAACACAGATGGTCTTTCAATGTGTGGGGAGGAATTTTGGGAGCCCATGTAATTGAACCCAGTGGCGACTCGTCGTATGAAGCAAATGGATAAATGGCCCACCTACGAAGGCTGTCCAGGTCTACACGAGATGAGGCAGGATAAAGAGGGATAATCCCCCTCGATCCCAAATCATTGAGGCCAATTTCTAGCCATGGAAAATCTCCGGATCTGTCATCACCAGATTTTTATATCTGGGGTGTGATAAAAGAGAAAATGCACTCAACGTCAGTTTATTTCAAAGAAAACCTAGTTGCCCGTATAAGAGAAGCCTTTGAAACTTTACCTGCTGCCAAATATCCGGAGCTGTTACAGGTGGGGTAACAAGAAGGATACATAACTGTTTACAAGTAGATGGTGGTCACTTCGAGCAAATTAATTAGATTTCTGAAAATAATTATTATTCGTATTACCTATTTAGTTTAATTGATTGGTAGTCAATGAGTGCATCTCTCATTAGATATTCTGCAAGTTGTATTTAATATCTTGTGACACTCCATGAATAAATAATAAATTTAGAATGTCAACATTTAAATAAATGTTAACGTTTTCCATTCTCTAACAATAAATAATAGATACTCAAATAAACATTCACTGTATGTGTTAAATTGACAACGATAAACTGATGACAGATTAGGTGCCTGTTTTGAAGTTCCACTAAAAAATTCACAGCCATCTTCCATTAAAAAAAAATAAGTTAAGATGGTTTGAAGTTGAGTAAATTCGGCATTAAATTTCTACCACCCTGTATGAAATTAAGTCGTTTTGAAATTATGGCAGGGAAGCCATATATGTCCCATATAAATTTTTTCGCTCTAACTTTATTATTGTAAAATACACATCTAGTCCAACCAACTTACACTTGGAGAAAAAAAAAATTGTTACCTGGACTTTTATAAGTGGAAAAGGGCTTATAATAAACCTAAAAAAAATAAATGCGTGAGCAGGGGCGGCGGAGGGTTGACTTGAGGGGTTGAAAAGTTATCAAAAATTGTATCGTTGAGATTTCTGACGAAAGTTGACGTCAAACCAAAAAGTATTCAATACAAAAGTTGTAGATCATGCAAAAATTTATAGAGGTCACTTTTATCATAACCTCAAAATTTCCGAGAAAAATGCGAAAAACAGTTTTTTTTCTTATTTTTCGTTTTTATTTCTCATTTCTGCAAAAATAATTTAATTTTGACGAAACCTGGTGAAAGTATACCTTTCTCTGTCTTAAATAACCTCAAATTTATTTAGATAAAAAAATCAAGAAGTTTCTAAGATATTAATTTTTTCGGCCTGAAACACTTTTTTTTCAAAGATAAATTCTACTTAAAAAAATCATCGTACAGAGTTCTGACGGTAATAATTTTTTTTGTTTTGACATATACTTTTTGGTGAAATAAAAAAATCTGTAATAACAGTTCAAAACATGCTCAAAAATGCAAAAAAATAAAAAATGACTTGCAACAATAAAGTTTTCAGTTATTGTTGATAATTTGTTTAAATTAAAAAACATTCAAAAACTGATTACACCATTCAATTCTACGGGAAAAAAATAAAAAAAACTGTGTCTCATTGTGTGACCCAAAACTTTATTTTTGTACAGTGTTGCTAGTTGCTATAAACATTTAAGTCGAATTACAAATGCAATGCACAAATGATAAATTATCTCTGGATGATTTGAGATTTCAGCAATACAAAGTATTAACTGCAAAGTCTACTGTTGACGCGAAATCCGAAAACCCGAAATTTTGCAAGATGTTTTTTTTTCTGGCTTTATTTGAAAACGAATTTTAAATAAATTGCATATTTACATTGCCACTTTTTTCGGTCTATCCAATGGCGTCAATATTTTTGCAATCCGAAGTTTCGTCTTCGAGGGGCCATCATCAGATACATTTTTTTAAATCTGCTATAAATATGCTATCTTTAGGACAAAATCTAGTCATTTTTAATTCTGTATTAGATGACCTTACTATTGTAATCGCTTAAAAAGGTTTCCAGCTATAATTAAAAATTTTTCCTGAGTACGGGCTCTGAACGCTTTCAAAATACCTGTATCTATTGGAGGAGAGAGAGAGAGGAGAGAATAAAAGTCAAAGCAGCACAGAATGTCCAACAATTTAATTTAATTTTTTCTAATCTGAGCCACCCCGTATCTCTTACCGTTTCCTAGATCCTAATGCTATCCTATCCTTATCTTGGACATACTCTATATCTATGAATTCATCAAACTATAAAAAAATAAGTACACTAATCGATTCAACGGAAAAAATATTATTATTTATTTTATTTATTCACTATTCGACTTATGTTTATAGCAATACTGTACAAAAATAAATTTTTGGTTCGAACAATGAGAGTTTTTTTTTGTATTTTTCCATACAATTTAATGGTGTAACCAGTTTTTGAATTTTTTTTAAATTTAAACAAATTATCAACAATTACTGAAAAATTCATTGTTGCAAGTCATTTTATATTTTTTTTGCTTTTTTGAGCATGTTCTTGAACTGTAAATACAGATCTTTTTATTTCACCAAAAAGTATAATATGTTGAAACAAAAAAAAATGGTCACCGGTAGAAAGAACTCCGTGCAATGATTTTTCTAAGTAGAATTTTCTTTGAAAAAAAGTCTTTCAGACTGGAGAAAATAAATATCTCGGAAACTGCTGATTTTTTTATCTAAAAAAATTTACGGTTATTTAAGACACAGAAAGGAATACTTGCACCGAATTTCGTCAAAATTAAATTAAGACGGATTCTTCTATAATTCTGTTATTTTAAGTTTAATAAAAACATGTTTATATCAAAGTTGTCTGGAATTATATTGGGCATCCACGTAGAATATTTTCAGTTATACAGGGTTCTCCGTTTCATCTGGACGATACATAACTTTGTTACTTTAAATGGAACACCTTGTATACAGGGTGATCCATTAACGGTATCGAGCGAAAAAAATCACGATTTGAAAATAAGTACACTAATCGATTCAACGGAAAAAAAATATTATTTATTTTATTTATTCACTATTCGACTTATGTTTATAGCAATACTGTACAAAAATAGTTTTGGGTCAATGAGACAGTTTTTTTGTATTTTCCCCGTACAATTGAATGGTGTAATCAGTTTTTGATTTTTTTTTAAATTTAAACAAATTACTAACAATTACTGAAAAATTCGTTGCCGCAAGTCATTTTTTACTGTTTTGCATTTTTGAGCATGTTTTTGAATTGTGATTAAAATTTTTTTGGTTCACCAAAAAGTATGTCAAAATGAAAAAAATGATTATCGGCAGAACTCTGTACGATGATTTTTTCTAAGTAGAATTTTTCTTTGAAAAAAAAATTGTTTCAGGCCGAAAGAAATGAATATCACAGAAACTTCCTGATTTTTTTATCTAAATAAATTTGAGGTTATTTAAGACAGAGAAAGGTATACTTTCATCAGGTTTCGTCAAAATTAAATTATTTTTGCAGAAATGGGAAATAAAAAACGAAAAATCAGAAAAAAACCTGTTTGGAATATTTCTCGGAAATTTTGAGGTTATGTTAAAAGTGACTTCTACAAAAGTTGTAGATTTGTGCATGATCTACAACTTTTGTATTAGATACTTTTTTGTTTGACGTCAACTTTCGCCAGAAA